ATCTAAACTAGAGAATTTGTCCGCGCAGATTTTTGATAGTAGATTTCTTCTTAAATATTTTAAATTTTAATCAATTATATTATTAGTAAAGTTTCTATGATTTTTCAGCACTTAAAAATTCAGAGCCTTTCTATATAACTTGTATAATATTTTAATCAATTATATTAATAGTACATTTTCTATGATTTTTCAGCACTTAAAAATTCAGAGCCTTTCTATAAAACTTATATAGGTGAAATGATATTTTTATTTTTGTTAAAAGAAAGTAAAGAAAGGATAGAAGTTCAAGAAAAATCAAATTCTTTCTTCAAGTATATATATATATATATATATGTATTACTAAATTTTAAAACATGAATATTTCTTTTTAATCTTTCAACTTAATCTCCTCAAATACTTTCCGACATAATTACTCATTATCTTTTTTAAAATGTCCAATCATATTCCTTTTTCATCTTCTAACTTCACAATAATAAAGATAAATAACCAAAATATATTTTCAAAGTCTCAACATAAAATGTAAGAAAAGCTATTACAGAAATCATGCATAAAACATGTTATAAAATATGAAGAAGTATAAACATTATTACCCATTAATTATCCCATTTAATTTGAGAATATGCAAGTAATTAATATAGTCAGGAATAGGAAAAACAAATCATTAGTATAGTATTACTATAAAAATCAGTAAAACATTATAAATTATTTTTTTAAATATTAGAATCGCAATACAGAATTTTAAAAAACGGCTCTTACACATATAAATGATTAAAAGTAATCATATTTCTGATGGGCAATGCAACTCTAGGTGCAATCCATTTATAAAATGAGCTTTTGAGGTTTGGTAAAGAGAAATCATGAAAGAACTAAAATAAATAAATAAATAATTGTATTATTCTTATGTTCTTAATTATTAAAATATTTTAAAAAATGAAATCAATATACAATTTTTTGAGCTTTTGTTGATATCCATTTTCACAAGCCATAGCCATCATTCAATAGCCTTCCTCTTCTTCTTTCAAGTCAATCCAAAGAATCAAACATAATAAGCATTGAAAACATGAATACTTAAAATGCTAATGTTCTCATTTCAATAAAGTTTTACAATATCTCCGTTTATACTATTACAATACAAAATACCAAATAATATTATGAATATGAGTATTAATTATTTGAGCAAAAAAGATTATCCTAAAGGTGTAGTAATGGGGTAATGAGAAAAGACCAAAAAAAAGAGAAAAGACAATAATCAACATGGGTTGTGGTGCACTGATGAGAGTGTTTCACCCTTAATCAGAAGTCTCGGGTTCGAGCCCTGATATGGAGAAAATTCTGTTGTGAGCACCACCCCCGAATGGGTCCTGTAGAGCGCGATCTGAATTTAATCGGAGCTCTTATGTGGACTCCGAACACCTGATGGAAAACAAAAAAGAAGAAGAGAAAAGACAATTGATGAATACTAATAAAAGGAAACAATTGCTTATTCAAAAAGAAATTAAATAAAGCACGAAAAAGAAACAAAAGTTAACGAAGCTTACCAGTCATCTGTCTCCATTGATATTTCAAATTTCTTCGCCACATGATATATATATATACAATTTGAAAATTCATCATTAATTTTCTTCATTTAGTAAAAAAATAAAAATATATTGAAAATGAAAGGTTTTAAAACTGAAACTTAATTGGGTTATTATTCAATTTTTAAATGTCTAATCTCTTCAATTGAGTAATGACTTTGATTAAAAGGAGGAAAACCCTTTTTTTTTTAATCTTTAGATATGAATACACATTAGATTGAATTACAAATTAAAATTTATTTAATAGAAACAATGAGGAATTAAAGCTATTTTTTTAGAAAAAAAAAGCAAAAAAGATAAATATGAATAGTAGCTATAGAGATGTGCCACATCACCTTTTTATTATCTAACTTTATATTATACATAGGTATAGATAGATTGTAAAGAAATTAAATAATAAAGAGAGAAGATATTAAAAAAATGTTGTCATATTACGATTAGAAGAAGGTAAAAGAGAGAGATACAAATAAAAATAAATTTATTAAAATTGAAAATTAGAGAGGAGTTACTCTTTGTTAATTGGTATATGAAGAGTTTTTTGTTGTAATTGTTCTTCTATTAATAAAACATTTATTTACAATAAATTAACTAATTTACTTTTACAATAAAATAATTGATTTAAATAAGGAAAAAAGTCAAAAAAAGGAACAAAAATATATATGAATGGAGGCCATTGAGAGGTGCCACATCACCTTATATATATATATATATATATATATATATTTTACCCTTATTTAGAAGAGGGAGTTGTGAAGGACCAACACAGCTCCAAAAAGTTGTTCCACATGTAATTTAAGTTGTACTATGTTAGGCCCCACTTTATTCAACAAGTATTGTACTATCATTGATAAAAGTGGTATTGCTTTTTTCCTATAAACACGTGCTATCTCTACAATTTTACTTTCCTTTTTTGCTGCTTTGACTGACATTTCTCATCTTCATTTTCTCTGCAATTTTACTTTCCTCTTCCTTACTTTTGCTCGATCTTTCTTCATGATTTTGTCAAATTTCTGGCCGCTGATTTGAGATAAGAGTTTTAACAACTCTAGACCCATTCAACATCTCCCCAACATCATTAAATTTAGGGGATTTCTGCCGGATGAACAAGGGCACTTTTAGGGATCTGTATGTTTGCTGTCTATCGACTTGAGCTCTTTCATCGTTTGCATCGATTTCTCCTCAACAGTTGCTCTAATCCTTAGTTACAGTAAGTTTTGCTTCCTCTTCTTCCCCAATTTTTCGGTTTCGATTCTTAGGTTTTCTGTGGATTCTTAGGTTGAGTATCATAAGCTCTATGTTATTTTTAAATTTAGGAGATTTCTGCCAGATGAACAAGGGCACTTTTAGGGATCTGTATGTTTGCTGTCTATCGAGTTTAGCTCTTTCATCGTTTGCATCGATTTCTCCTCAACAGTTGCTCTAATCCTTAGTTACAGTAAGTTTTCCTTCCCCTTCTTCCCTAATTTTTCGCTTTCAATTCTTAGGTTTTCTCTGGATTCTTAGGTTGAGTATCATAAACTGTATGTTATTTTCCTATATGAATGTTTGAAAATGTAAATAAATATGTATATAACTTTGATGTACAGAGTGCATCTATGGTCGTTGAATCATAAGATTCCACAGGTTCATGAAATGTCCTGTTTGTTTGAATCATAAAAAGCCTAGATTGTCGAGGGTTAGGATAGCATTTATCACATAATTTAAATTATTACTTGGTTCAATTATGTCTTACCCAAAATATTGTTGAAGTAAATGCTTTGGCAATGCATTAGTTGATGCCAAGGAAGGGATATAAGTTTGTTCTTAACTAAAAGACTGTTAAAATGTGACTAGAGATAATGAAAGACTTTTATTTTATTCTCAACTTCTTAAGAGTGACAAATAAAGTTGTTGATAAACTGAAAAATGTATGAAATGTATTTGAGTTTAAAGCTTTACCTAGATATTCTCCTATTTGTTTTCTGCCTATATCTGCATTGTCACATATTTTTATGGTTAACAAAAAGAAGACAAATTCATATTTGATGGTATAAAGAATAACAGAAAAGTTAACCTCAATTTCTCTAAGGATATTGTGGTTTAAATGTTGAGTTATCATTTTCTGTCTATGTAGTAATGAAGAATTTAAGGGCTGAAATTCATGCAGGAAGCATTATGTTGAATCACAAAAGCGGTGAAACAACTTCTACTATCATATCCTCATTGGCTAAGAGATGTATTCTAGCTATATGATACATGGGATACCAACGAGGCAACGATTAGTGATTTCACAAAGGCGCAAGCACTTGTACTGTGTTGTCATTGTATATCACATACATGGTGTGTTCCTCAAACATAAAAGGTATCTTTGGAGAGAAGACATTTTTTTAGTTGATTATACAATTCAATTGTCATTTTTTTCCCTATATTTTACGTTGGACGACATTACACATTACAATTTAGTTTTTTTTATATGCACTGTATTACGAAAAAATAGCATACTAGCAGTAATGAGGAATTAAGGTGTCAAATTGATGCAGAGTGCATTACTTTGAACCCAACTGAGGTTAATTCTGTTTTTTAGTTGTGTACTTTTCTCTTTTCAAATTTGTTACATTATACTTGAGAAAAAAATAGTGTACTAACAGTAATGAGGAATTTAAGGTTTAAAATTGGTGTAGAGAACATTATTCTGAAGCAGCACAAGCAACAAATTAAATAACTTCTCCTAGCATGTCGTCATTAACTAAGAAGTATATTTGAGTTGTATGATACATGATTTGTGTCATACATGATTTATGAACGATAATTGATTTCACAAAAGTTTAATAGGACTTGGAGTGCACTGCCACTATGTATTTCAAGTTTCAACTAATGAGCCCGAATGAATTTCTGTTTTTCACGTGTAGACTGGTGCATTTATGCAGATTCTTACATTGAGTTTTTTATTTAAGAAGTTCTTGGCAAGTATGTTTCTTTTATAAGGTTTCAAAACAATTTTTCTTTGCTACGATAGAAGATAATGTGTATAGTGTGGACAAAAAAGAAAGTTAAGCAAATAGAGTGGATAACACTTTATTGTTTGCAATATATGTAGAAGTTGTCCCAATTAATGCATTGATGCTGAGAGAAACTCATTTAATGAGTACTTTGCAGAGAATACATTTAAAGCGATAGTTTAATTGCAAAAGCACTAAAAGATAAGTAATTTCAATTTTAATATGTCTCTTGCTTCGACACTCCTCGCCAATCTAACATGATAATTTTTTTGCTTTCAGGTAATATGGAGATAGGCAACTCTCATTTGCTTGGAGTAAGTTTTATAGGATTCTTATTCATAATTTCTTAGGAATATGTAATTCTCAACACATTATATGCTTTTGTGTTTTTGAAATCTTTTCTTCTTTCTAATTTTCTTTTGTATTGAAAATAGGTGCTACTTGAACCAATTTGTTCTGCCTCTGGGAGTAGAAAAATAGGAGTATTACATGGTGTCCGCTTTGTGACTTCACAGACACTCATCAACTTTTACTTTTGGAAATTGGTTAAGAGAGTTACGTGGAAATGAGTATAAAATTAGCTGACGTGACTAACCAAGACATGTCTGAATGGTTCGGAAAGCATTTCAAGTAAGTTGCACTCATTGTGATTATCTTCGGTGCTGCTTTAGATAGGTTCTAAATGTATAATTAAGTTATTGCACTGTGTCGTTGGTGTTGGTAATTTAACACATTTATTTTAATACATTTTCACATTTTTCATAGATTCTTACACTGTTTCGTGTGTGCAAAATTAATTTGACTACAAAAAATAGTTATTTGACCATGATGATTATTGATACATGCTTTACACTTTACAGAACTTCTGTGCTAGCATAAGGGAAAAAAAGTTGGATGGCGTAGTAATTTAAGTAACATAAGAATGGAAATATAGAAAATTATTGACCTTGATCAAATGTTGATGATAAATGAGTATCTCAGAAGTTATACTCACGGTTTCTACCCAATGCAAGGAATAAGTGGAAAGAGTTTTCAAGTAATTGTAGATAAATTAAAAATCCGATGGAAAGCATATATTTATTTTTGTTTCGTGTATGAACAAATTGTTTTGTCATACGTGGATGCTGAACCGGCATTCGTAAATTGACTTGATCTTCTTTTTTCGTAGATTTTACTGGAATCATTCTATGCATATGAATGAGTTGCATTGTGCTTGGCTAATAACCAAATCAAGAGTGAGGTTTGCTTATGGATGGTATAAATATTGCAAACTTGAACTTTCTTTTGAACTATGGATACGATATGTTGTAATAAGTCAATTGTAACTCTCTTAGACCTCTTTCCCTGAAAAATTCTGTGTTTCATTCAATTAGAGTTTTCACTACAAGAATGACCGATGTAAACAGGCACAAGAATTGTTTATCTATTGGGGAAGGGGTGTATGAACACTACAAAGAGAAGTTGTACAAGATATTATGTGGATTATACTATAAATGGTGGACTATTTCATTTGTGATTAAATTTCTTTATCGTTCTCCTATTAGGCAATAATCATGTGTATTGCTTCTAAAAACACAAGCCATTTCAAATTTTGCTGAACTTCCATATCTACGACGATCTCTGTTGGGTACATTGAGATTGTGGATTTATGATTTCGCTAATTTCTTCTTTGTTCAAGAGTCACTACTTTGTTACTCTGTACCTAATGACATAAAAGTTACTTGCCTGTGATATTATTGGGACCAGTTGTTTGTACTTTTTCATTTGAGTTAGCAGGTTTCAACATATGTCGACACTAAAACAAGTTATGCCTCTCAAGTGTGGTTGCACTTCTATGTATATGTGAGCATCCTCTCATTTTTAATCTAAATTAGATGTTACTGATCCATACATGAGTAGTTCTAGAATATGTAGTGCATTTGTTCCAAGTAATTTTTCTATTTCCTTTTTTTTTAATACTTTTTGAATAGTAGACAATTCTTTTTACCCAAAAATGAGCAGGGCCTCTCTTCAATTTGAAAGTCTTACTTGCACTAACATTTTGATAGTATTTCTACTTTATGATTAATTTGGTTGTTGTCTATAATGGTAATCTTTACATACTACATTCTTTACTCCTATTCTTAGAAATAGTCAGATGAATTCTCAAAAAAAGAAAAAAGTCACAGATGAAGTATAAGCTTGACAGGTTCAATTGTAGATGAATTATAAAGCATGTAGAAAGCTTTATATTTGTTTTTAGCTTCGTGTATGAACATTTTCTTTGTTGTGATATGTGGATGTTGAACTGAATGTGTTGGGAAGTTTTCTATTTCAAGATATATCAAGTATTGTCATGCTGCATAACTATCTTTTGGTGTGGCTTTGAATCTACTGAAATGATTTTTCTTTCTCAGATCAAATCTAAAATAAATTATCCTCAGATAATTTTGCTTATTTTTTCTTTATTTCTGGATCAACAACTTGAATATAATTAGAATGAGATAACTTTCTAATATAATTTTTATCTTAAAAAAAAACTCATGTGGCAGTGTGTGCTCATATTGTGGTAATATTGTGTTTTTTCACTTGTACCTTTTGATGTTGTTTGTAAATTGACTTTACCTCCGTTTTTGGTAGATCTCACTTGAATCAGTCACTGCACAAGAAATACTTGGGTTATGCTCACGGCTTGAAGCCAGATGAAGTGTGATGATGGCATATAAATTTGAGTTTTCGTGCAATAGGATGTGATATTTTTTTAACTTAGCTCTCTTAAGTCTTTACACTCTTTCTACGGAAAGTTATTCTCTGTTTAATCCAGCCATAATTATCATAATAAGAAACGACTCTTAATAATACCTACTATGCTACATTATATAATTCATTGAGACCTGTAAACTTTTACTAATTTTTGTTATTGCCACTATTATTATTATTTTTTTAACTAAAGATTACTTGTGAGAGTTTGTTGGACCCGTGCTAGCATTAGAAGAGACAGTTTCAGGCAGTTTCAACATGCCATTTAATTGGCAAGTGAGGATATTTTTGTCATTCCAACTTTTCATACTGAAAAGTATTGCATAGAAAAATTGTGCGATCGGCCTTATTATTTGGGCCTTCTTAACATCCTTAGAAAAAAGCCTATACTTTTTCTGCTAAATTACAGATTATGCCTTCTATCATTGAGTATAGTGGGATTCATTTAATTTTATCATTGACATGTATACTATGATTACTTTATTGAGTTTCTATGTATTTCCATTTTTATTCTCTACATATTAAATTGTTTAAATTTAATATAGTTACATAATTTAATAAAATTTTATTATTTAGCTTTTATATTCAAAACAATTTATTTTTTAATATTATATATATCATTAAATAACTATATGAGATTATTAATAGTCATATTTATATTTTTAAAGTATAATTAATAAAATTATTTTTTTAAAAATAAACTCCTAATAAATAATTTATTAAGAAAAACGTCAAATTAATTTAAATCAAGTATATATTTATTAACTCGACATAAGTGTTCAAATAATATTTCACCTTTGTGAGGTGTAAATACAATTCACCAATATTTAATTATTAGAGTTTATATTCTACACACAATTTATCAACGTAAAAAGATAAGAAATCATAGCATGTTTTTCTTTGCAAGTAAGTTTTTTTTTCTTACTGAACTTTCAATACTTTTGCAAGATCAATAAGAATTTTTTCTTTTTGAAAAATATTGAATTGCTTTTTATTATTAAAATGACGTTATGGAAAGAAAGGGCAAAAAAACATATTCTTTCTTTTAAATTATGTGGTATAATTTAACCAAAAAATTACTTCCTTTATTTGATTTTTGTGAAATAATTTAATTAAATATTGATATACATTTTTTTTTACTCTTTGAAATATTAGGGAATTTTACTTTGGAATAAAAAAAACTCTATATCAACATATTTGGGGTCCATAATTATAGGTTCTAATGTGCAAGATTTTGATAAATTAAAATCTTTAAAGTTAAAACTATTTTTAAACATAATAATGTTTTAAAAAAAAATTGAAAAAATAATGTTATACAAAAAAAAATTTAAAAAAAATTATGATTTCTTCAATGAGGGGTTTGACCCTTACTTCCGAGAGAGAATTAACTATAAGGTTGCAAAAACATCAACACTTATTATAATCCTAAAATATTCTCTCCGTTACTACTTATATGCCACTATTTTTCTTTCGCTTATGTAAATAAAATATACATACCTATCGTATAAAACTTGGCTCCAACAACTAATATATAATTTTGATATATATCTATGTGTCACACTTGCAATGTACTTAATATACAATCTTTATATATGTGTCACACTTGCTATGTTGGGCCCATGCTGGCATGGGCCATCCACTTCTAGTATATATATATATGATATGATATGATATGATTAGCCAACCTCTTAGATAATACAAATTTTTTTGTAGAATTTAAGAATCCATTAACTAATTAATTAATAATATGTGTAAGAGAAGCTCAAAGAACACCAATAAAAAAATTATATAAAAAAGGAAATGATTTTCATTTCCCTAGGGAGGTTTTTGGTTATAAATTATTGTCCAATTTAAGTAAATAAGATTAACTAATATTATTTTTAATTAATTACTTAATTTTCTTTCCATGAATCTAATTTCTTTTGTTATTTTTCGTTAAAGAGAACATTAATCAAGAAAATAATAATCCTTGGATAACCATTTGACTGTTAAAGTGAACATTAATCAAAACAATTCTAATGAAACCATTTACATTTGTAATTCGTTATATATATATATAAAATGTTCATATACTATTAATAGTAATATTTTTATGACCGCGCGAAGCGCAACTTTGTTCACTACTAAAGAGTCATAAAGTAAAATACATATGTTAATTGTTCAGTAAATTTATTATATTGAAGTGGAAAAGAAAAATTATAGGCTAGTATGTATGCTTAATAGTATGTGTTGGTTTTTCTTAGCATTTTAATATTAATTCTTTGTAATATTAACTAGATAAGAATTGCCCGTGCTATGCACGGACCCAACGGGTATGATTTTGAAAAAATTATAACTTTTCTCTATCGTAGTTTGATTATAATGAACAAATATTGTTGCTATACAAATAAAAGAACAGGATACAATATTGCTAAACTATTTTTATAAATACATAAAAGGCTCAAAAGTACAAGTACTACAATAAATACATCATTAGAATTTCTCTCATGCTCAATTAACAATTCTCCCTAAATACGTAAAAGTTTCAGAAGTATAAGTACTACGATAAATACATCATTAGAATCTCTCATGCTCAATTCACGATGCTCCCTAATAGACGAGCACTTGCAAGAGAGCTAGCATCAAATCTAAAATTGTTATAAGCTTTATTATAGAACTCTATTGTTGCAAAACAAAGACATTATTGAAATCATACTCAACAGTCATAAGATGACACATTTTTCAGAAATGGCTCAGAAATTTTAGTGGTAGTTCAATTTGGTATTTGCTTAGCCCAAACTACAAAGGGATGTACTCATAGGGGAGCTTACATATTCATTGCCAGAAAAAAAATCAAAATTATCGTTTCAATTTTTCATTTGTACTACAATTAAGACCTCAACTTAAGGCCTATTCGTATAAGTGTAATAATATTTTAAAAAATAACAGAAATATATAGAAAAATTCGAAGTAACTAAAAGTCCAAAAGGCTCTTCAAAGTAGAAAAATAAAAGTACCTCCATTCCCAAAGTAAACACATTATATCATTCAAAGTAAACATAAAAAGCTTAACGGAGCTTAACCTAATTTTACCATACCCACACATTCATCACAATAAAAGGTGATTCCTAGTCTAAGTTTGTTCAACTTCTTGTTGCTTATCCTCTCTTGAATTATCCTTGTATCACTCTCCATACTATCAAATCAAAAAGGAAAAATTGTATGAGATCCATAGCATCATATTAATTACCTCAATTATCATAGATCACAACATTGATATTCAAGAATTGCGTTCAAAAAATCATCACCAAGATATTAATGATTTGCATTTTTGAAAGAAACTATATGTACGCACTGTTTAACCTATAAAATTTAAAAAATCTTCATAATTATTTACAAGAATACCACATATACAGTGTAATTCTATAAGTGGGGTTTGCAGAGGTTAGGATCAAGGTACGCAGACCTTACGTCTTCTATCTTTATAAAGTAGATAAACTGTTTTTTGATACATGCTCGGTAGGTAAGAAAAGAATTTGAATCATGGAGCAAGATGTTGATAGCAAGATACAAAGCATATTTTTTTTATAAATTTTTTATAGTATCGTATATTTTTGAGAAGTCCACAAAAATTAAATAGCAAGAAAAATAAAAAAGGTTAAAGTGATGAAAAATTTCACCTAGCTTGAATTTCAAGAATAAAATATCGTATAAATTGACGGAAAGAATATGTATTTATATAGGTATTTATGGATGCTTTCCGTTTTTTTAATTTCATGAAATTAGTATAAAAACTTATGTAATTATTTATCAAAAACATTGATGCTCTTTCCGTTATATTTTCTTTTTGAAATTAGTATCAAAATTTATGCTATTTTTTTTT